CCCCCCCCCCCTCCCCCCCCCTAATGATTCCATCATAAATATCTGGGCTTGGGAGCCCCTCTCGCAAATATCCGACCCGCGAACGATTCTGTTATAAGAGGTTTTTTGTGCATGGTTTAAAGTCTGGGATTCCGGGTTCTATGGGATACCGCCAAGGGACTTAAACCAGACAACCATGGTCTGTGCATTCTGGAAAAGCTGGCCTCCTTATACTGGCAGCTTGAGCTAAGTTCTTTGAATGCCTATATGACCCTGCATGACTCGAACTTCCGTTCAGTTTACATGTATCTTCCACGTGATTCTACATGTTTGGCTAGCTCACCTCAAGTTCTATGAGTCCCCGTATAACTGTGTAACCCATACATCTCCAGCTTTGACTTTGATTTGATTATCTACTGTTCGTAACTTCAATCAAGTTCCTTAACTGCCACCCACAGCAAAATTCGAACCCCAAACCTGCAAACATCCAAGCTAGACTACAAACCCTGAACAATACGTGTGACATTTCCTGGCTTCCTTACACTGGTCAGCCAATTGGTAGTTTCCACGAATCGGGGGAACCAAGTATATAAACAAACTATTGAATAGGGTACCCCCATAATTTTTGGAAACCTTAAATGACAAACCCCTGGCCCCCCTACATAATCGCCCGACAGGTACCCTAATTCTGGGAACACAAATTCGAGTTCCTTAACAGCGACCAAGTTTCTGGTCCATCTTGGCGATCTCCGCCTCCACTGCAAAAAGGACGAGGGTTTAGGGTTTAGGGTTAAGGGGTTTAGGGTTCAGCCTTGATTTAATCCACATCCCCCTATTACTTAAACCCCCCACCCACTGCCACCCACCGATACTAGATATTCCCGAGAGATTAAACTGCCGACACCAACCTCCACTTGGGCTCGAGCCAGGTGGCCTTGCCACAACTTGTTCCAGTGGTGTTTATACGATTAAGGGTTTATTAAACCCCAAACACGTTGCTTGGACTCTAAATACAGGACCCTTCATGTTTTGGGAATCATCTTATGGCGCCTTCCCCCACAAAAGTTGTGACAAGCTCCTAAAGGATCAAGTATATAGAAGTGGGGTAGCTGATGCCCCATAATGTAAATTGCCATTCTAGCTCATGGCCACTATCCGTACCTTACAGTAAGTTACATGAATCATCCTGGGCATTAACCCTTTTGAATGATCAAATCCGGCGAAGTCTTGGCACAGCTCTTGTCATGGCAGGTGGCAATTCGTTCTGAAGTACCAGGTTCCCTAGTAACCCCTTTATAACTAGGGTATTCTAATTCCCAATGTTCGGCTCACAAACCTCAGCCGCCAAGGATATACACATTAGCCCTATTCAGAATGTCTTTTGTTAGGCAACAAACTCTGACACTGCGGTCCTCATCAGGCTCTTCGAAGGACTCTTCAGTGATCTTCGGCATCTGGGCTTGGTTGATGGCTTGCAGTGAAGGGCTGGTGAAACCCTACGGAGACTTTTATTCTTACTATTGCTATTACTATGACTATTATGCAGCCTGAACTATGCCAAGCGAGAAAAAAGTCGCACATCACCAATATCTGACCAGACCCTGTTCATGCTGAGCAGCATCTTTCTGGGGCGTCGGAGTCTCTCTCCCTCCTTCTCTCTTTCTGTATGCCGTGTAATTATGCTGCTGTTGTTGTTTTATCTCTTTCTCTTTCTCTCTCGGTTTCATTCTGCTTCTCTCGCTTTCTATCTCTCAGAGTGTCTGTTTCTTTGCTGAGGCATTCTTCTCATCAAGTAACTAGGGCGAGAAAACGAGTAAAACCAAGATCTCTGTGCCCCAAACCTGAGCGACATTGAACTCTGAATCCTTAGGCTTCCCACCGGCATTCAGAAAACTAGCCTCCTCAAGCTTGAGCGATCTCAAGGCATGCAGGAAACCTAAGCCAAAGAACGATGTGATTGAAATCCGCTTTCGAAAGACATGGACCGCCAAATCCCAACACGCTTCGTTCAGAAGCCCTAAATCCAATCCACCAATACGATCATAAAGTCTGTTTGAATTACCCTACGCCAGAACTGCACAAGAAATGATCGACCATAATTCTGGTGGTTATCCAGGCTTCTACACGATTTAATCCCCATGCAGCCCTATATAAACACAGCGTCCGTTTCCTGTTCCATCAGCTTCTCCGTTCTTGGTACCCTAACATTGGTAAGCATTTAGGCACCTACGGAAACTTGCCGCCCTAAACCCTAAACCCTAGAGTAGGCATTACCCTGCTTAGCTGGACCTTGGATTCCCTCAAGAGTTGGAGACCTAGCGGGACACAACAAGTTCAGGGTTTATGACCCATCGAGCAAGTGCTAGGCAACACCTTAAAACGAAACACGGCCAACAAAGGCCCTTATTATGCATGCTTTGTGGGTTCCCTTAGTTGCAACTACATGTCGTTTAGGGTTGGTTGTTCATTGGGTCTACTATGTACCTAGCTTAGCAGCCGCTAAACGTGTGCCCCATCATCCATCCGCTAACTCTACAAGCTTGCTAAGACCTACGAAGCCAAATTCTGGAACAACAGCAAGGGTCCATGTAGCTCAATAGTATAGACTTTGGCCTTAAAGTAGTTATATGGGAACCCCTGTGGGCCCTCAGTCTATACTATACAGCTCCATGGACCCTCTGGGACAAGTCTCAAGTGTATAGAGTGGTGTATAGAGTTTAGGGCTTAGGATTCCAAATCCCCCCCTTCAGGCCCTGAAACCCCAACCCCCGCACCTTAAACTCTCAATCCTAAAACTCTAAACCCTAAGGCGCTAAGCCTAAACCCTAACCCTAAATTCTAAGACCCTAACCTAAACCCTGTAAACCTTCGAAGTGCGCGGGGCCTTAGCCTCCTGGACTTCCTTTGTTGCTCTGACGGAAGCGCCCTTCTGTGGCTTGGCTCCTGGC